CAGCTGCATATCTACAAGTCTGTCATGTAGATTCTGTCAGTGAAGAGCCCGTATACATGTACATACTTGTGTGTCAACTAGCTGCTTGAACGCACATCAACGGTGCACCACCCCGCGCCTGCGGGTTTGTTTAGTACAGAGTACTCGGGTCTTCAACCAGGCCTACCAAGCACCAGACCGAGGACCCTGTTGGATCCATGTGTTCGCCCTGCTGCTACTTCCACTTGCTATTGTGTCATCCTTACTGCTTTGGGCAGTACTCGGACCGAATGTGAGGTTCTATTTCGTGCTCGTCAGCAGGCAAAGTTGCAGAATGTATATAATAGTGGCTGGGCGACTGCTCCGCTTCAAGGCTACTTGGACTCCCACCCTTCGCCGCGCTACAACTATGAATAGATGAATGGCGTGCGCGTCCAGGGTTGCCGTAACGCGAAACTTTCGGGCGCGACGCTGTTGGCGGGAATATGAATGGCTTGCAGCATCGCTATACAGGCGTATCTTGAAAGGTCACCGTGAAGCCCAATCTTTATCCGGATCCGGATACGTTCCATCACGGCGCTTCAAGGGAGAGCAATCGGGCTCTTCTCAAGCAGCACAAAAGGCTGCTCAGCAAAGGTTCCATGCACGGGCGATGCAGACAACGAAAGTACAGACATAAGGAGGGCGTCGAAGCAGAGAGCGCGCCGTTCGTAGCCATTCTGCCAATACAGAGTCGCTGACGAGCCGACGACGACCCACAGAGGACCGACGCCTCGACACTATCCGCCCGCTTCAAATCTAAAGAGGTCTTTCACCAACGTAGTCGACTTATGACATCGAGTCCATGCTGGCAGCAGCATCGGTATCGCATTCTTTGATTTGTAGCATTGTTTGGTTACCGTGGGTACGTGCCACTTGCTCGTATGTTGCGTCAGTAGGTATGTTCAAGCTTGCACGATGGCGCAAAGACGAGTGTTGTTGAGGGTCAATACTGACGCGGCGTGGTACGTTTCGGTGCCCAGCATCGCAGTGCAACTAGCCGCGATGACGCAGTGGGACGCGTCGTACCGTAGTAAATGGAGTGCCATCGACGAAATGCCAGTTACATCGACGTATACCTGAGCGACTCACGTGGATACCGACGCGCGTCACGAGATCCACAAGCGTGCTCTCTGCTATCGCGCTCTCGGAGAAAATACAAAGAAGGGCCTTGTCGATGCCACTGTGCCAACGGATTCAGCCGTAGCAAATTCCGTTCCGATAGGTCGCAGCTGCGACTCGACCCGCACACGAACGTGACCGATGTCCCTACGTTACCAACAACTCGGCGCCTCGCAATCGCGGTCTGAAATCTGCCGTGCTTGCACCAGCATGTCCACCTTCGAACTGCCAGACTCCTGACGCCAGGCCTTCCGCTACTGGCGACGACATGATTCGCACCGCGTCCATAGACCCATATGATTGGCTATGATAGGGCTCGGTCTTGCACCGCTAACGTGAGTGTGCCCTGGTTCCCCAGTCTCGTCCGGTGAGCACAAGTACTGGCGATGAAGGACCGTGCAGGCGTTACGAGACGCCTCTGATTACTACGAGTGCAGTGCAGTGCTTGGTGTTGTCCAGTGCTGCACGCAGAAAGGCGAACCTTTTCAACTCATTTTGTGTGTGTTTCGCTGGTTGTGCGTCTCTTGCGGCTATGGGGAGGATATGTTGAGCACTGTACCTTGCTTCCTCGACGCACGAGGGCGCGCGGACGCCGGTCCTCTCTCCGAGACAAAGCGCCCGTCGCCACGCCCACTCGCGCCTCGCTTGATGCCACACCGCATGAGGCGTCCAGCATCTTTCATCAGTAAAATTGCATGTTCATAACTTTTTGCAGCACCAACGAGACGCGCTCTTGGGCAACGAGCCGGTTGCAGTGCCGCGCTGAGATCGGCCACGGGTTTAAGCAATGTTGTGGCCAGTCGACGAACCCAGGAAGACGGATGGTACCGCCCAGTACGCGTTCCAAGTCGCGGCCGTGCAAACGCAGCTTCTTTTGTTCGGTCGCGCGAACATGCAAAGGCGGTGCTCTACATATCGTCGAACGCACGAACGCTGCCAGAGATCGCAATGGTCTTCGCATCGTTGTCGGAAGACGAGGAAGGAGGGAGGTTGACACAGTGGTCCTTCTTCTGCTCGCCGCCACGTCCTGTCCCCTTCCGCCGCGCGTTCACGGAACCAAACAACGAAATTCAGGAATGGAAAGGCGGTGGTTTAACTTATTACGAGAGGCGGCAGCCAACTACACACTACACTACAGATTGTTGATCGACTACGAGTTCACGGGCTCAGAAGAAACGCGATCGACATTTTCGACACGACGGACGACGCTTTGCCTTGCTTGAGGAGGCGGAGCTCGCGCCGACGCTGGTTGATCTTTTCGCGGTGCGCTGCGAGGTACTCCTTCTTGCGCGCGAGGACCTTCTCGCGGTGGTGGACGTAATATTGCTTGGCCTGCGCGAGCTCGCGCTCCTTGTGGCGCTGGCGGTACTCCTTGTTGAGCGCGAGGACGTTGTCCTTGTGCGACTCGTAGTAGCGGCGCGCTTGGAGGAGCTCGGCCTCGCGGTGGCGCGCATAGTACTCCTTCTGGCGCGCCAGGACCTTTTGGCGGTTCTTCTCATAGTACTTGCGGTCGGCCGCGGCTCGGTTGCGCTTGCGGGTCTCGGACGTCATGCTTTTTGAAATGTGGGTTTGGGGTTGCGGGTGAAAACTGAAGTGAGACGGCGACGACGCCGATGGTGTCAAGACCGTAGCAGTTGCGTCCAGAAGTTTGCCCGTCAACGAAGGGTTGGATCAAGCGCTGGGGCCAGCGCGCGTACTTCCTACAATGTACACGGTACCCATCCCTCGAGTCTTGTGTTTTTATGCACCTTTCTCTTGTCGTTTGTAGGCGCCTTTGCGATTTTTGAAAAAAACACGATCCATGGTCACAGCAAGCAGATGGTTTCGGCCCGCGACGTCGACGCCATCGCGCGGCAAGGGCCCTAGGAAATGTAAAGTTGCACACGCCATTACGATAGAGGCGCTTCGGGCGAAGCGATCGAAGGGCTAGAACGCCGTAGGAAGAGCACCGAGAGCCGCTAGACGGACGACGAAGGGGCATTGAAGCGCGCGGCCGCGCCTAATTTTTCGGCCCAATCTAAGCCGTGTCACATGGGACAAAGCGACTTGACCCGTGTGTCAAGAGAACAAAGAAAAAAAGATCCAAGTGACGCGTGATACACCCTACGGTATGACCCAAGAGGGGGACTGGACCAAACTTCAGGATGTAGCCATTGACGGACTTGGCGACACGTGCACAATGTGCTGCTTGTGCAAGGTGGCGCACCACGCCGAGTCGGATCGAGCCCCACGGACAAGGGATGTGGGGTCGCATCCGCATTGGCCGGTGCGATCAACCTCCTCAAGAGCAGCCTGTTTCCAAGTTCAAACATCGCGGCCCGAAAGGCAAGTAGCAACGCCGGCCAAGCAGAGGATCGGCCGCTCGGTCCCGGAAACTTCAGGTTTCAAGCAGCTGAGTGCGACACGAAGAAAGATCCTTCCACTTTCCGGCGCGATTTCAGCACGTATTATACGCTGCCGTGGCGGGCACAGAAGTTGAAGCCAGCATGCCACATCATCCGTGGCCAGCCAAAACACAGCAACCAAAGGTCCCATGAAAGAAGGGGAGAACCACGCACGCAAAATGATCCCACGCTCGAGTAGCTCGATCTGCCAGAGACCGTTTCCTTGGCGCCAGCAGCAAGTCGAACCGACACCGTCGTCCATCTCAACGAGTAGTGTGATGGCCACTGATACATGCTGCGCAGATGCCAACCATGTTCATGGGTGGTGCGCGCAGCCGTGCCTGATACGCTCGAAAATTTAGCCGGGAAGCCATTCTGGAAGCCGTCGGCGTCTGAGCCGTCGCGCGCGAGTGGGGCACAATTTCGAACGAGGTAGCTGCCCGGGTACTCGGCGCGTGGGTGGCGGCGGCTGGGAGTGGTAGCTGCGACGCTCCACGGCGCACAACTGCGCCAACTCAGACAAGGATCGCGGCGAAACGTGGCACGTCGGCGACTTTGCACTTTGTATGCAGTCCTGGCGTGGGACTCTGTGTCAATCCACCCAAGCCGACGCGACGCTACCCTGTACTCGAAACAAGAAACAACGAGTAGCAAACGCCCAAGCTTCTTTCGAAACATCGTAGTCGTAGGCTTGTTTATCAGAGCTCGTCGATCGGCTGGAGGTTTTGAAGCAGGCGACGCGTGTAGTAGTTTTCGGTAATCTCAACCGCCGTGAGCCCATCCGCGTTCTTCAAGTCGCGGGGCACGCCGGCCTCGAGGAAGACGCGGACCGTCTCGGTATGGCGGCGCTGGCTGCCCCACGCCGCGCGATGAAACGGCGCAAAGCCGTCCTTGTGCAATTCGGTCGGGCTCAAGCCGTGTTCCAAGAGCAGCTTGGCGACCGCCGGGCGGCCTTGGTACGCGGCGCCGTGCATGGGCGTGTACCCATCCTTCTCGCCCTTCATGACATCAATGCCCGGGTACGTCAAGAGAAGCTTGACGACATCGATCGAGCCAAAGAGGCATGCGCGCATGAGGCACGTCTGCCCGCCCTCGGGGCCGACTTCGTTGAGCACTTCGGGGTTCGTCTTGAGAAGGCCGGCGACGACTTCGACCTTGTTGTTGGCGCACGCAGCGTGGAACTCGGGGTGCTGGCCAAGGACGGCCGCGGTCGCCCACGTCGCGAGCGCCAAGTAGAACCGGAGGAGGACCATCGCTGCCTATTTTTTCAAGATTTGTGGGACCGCAGTCGGAAGGTGTATCCGGACAGCCAGTCATCCGGATAGATGCACGACGCACGCAAGATGAACTCCGAACTGAGTGTGGCGGCGCTTGGTGTAGAAACGTGTGGGTGCGCCTCGGCGCGTCAGTTTCCTTTGTGCTGGACGTACGGCTGCCGTCAGTGCAGGCGCACTTGGAGGGCCAGGCAGAGGCGGAAGCTGGGCGGAAGCTGCTTCAACGACGCGATAGCCCCGAGACGTGGGACCGAACCAGGAGGCCGGAGTAAACGGTGCCACGTTATTAGGGAAAATGCGTGACGATCTCGTCCGATGCGTCGACGAACACGGCGACGACCAAGGCGCCAGCCTTGTCGCTCCTCCTCGCGCGCGGCTGGGGGATGGTAGTTGAAGCGCGTCGCCTTCTCGCCAACTCGCGGAGCAGGTGCACGGCAGGTAGCAAGCCATGACGACCGAGTTCGATGGGCAGTGCCTGCGACGTCCAAGGCTTGTGTCGTTGGATGGGTATAAAAGACGGGGTGCCACACCAGCGAGGATGCCCGTGGACGTCCCGTATGGACAAGGCACCGTGCTCGTCGCGAGACGAGAGGAGCGGGCGCCACGTATTCGTACTATCAAGGTCATACGTACTTTGGTATCTAGAGCTATGTTAGGAGTATGCTTGGTGCAGGCGCTTCTTATCTTGTCTTTGGCCATAGAAAGGCGACGAGAAATAGCAGCCAATCCGGAGCCAGGATGCCAAAAGGCAAAGTGAAAAGATCCAACAACAGCGGAGGATGCGACCGGCCTGGCTGCATGTCGTCGCTTTTGCATGCGGGGTCTATGGAGCGCGGCTGCGGTCGATGGGCTCAGCGCTCATGGTTGTGGCGAGTGAGAAGGCGCCCTCGGATCAGCCGGGCCGGGCCAAGGCGCCGGCTGCCATCAACCTCTTTGAGCCAACAAACGAGTGGAAGACCATCGAGGAAGGCCAGCAGCTACCAGGGGTACGCTGCCGCTGTGCCTAGGCGCATGCAAGTGATGTGTTTGTGTCGGCGTAGGGACTGTGGATCCGAATCAACTTGGCCACGGGGCTCAAAGAAGCTCGACTGCTCGAGTAGGAAGACAACGATACACTGAGTGCTTGCGAGGATCGAGACAAGCGTCGTGTAATGCTAGGAATTGACCCAAGCTGTGCGCGTTCACTATGTCCGTCCTGCCGCGTAATGGCTGCGAGACCACAACACACATGGCAAGCAGTCCTTCGGCGTCCCCAGACCGAGAGCCAAGAGAGCCAAGAGAGCCAAATCGAAAAATCGAGAAAGGCTGATCGCGCGCAATGTCAATGCGAGGCCCGCAGATTTCATCCTGGTATAGGTTATTCTAGTTCAACTCAAACTGGTAATGGAGCAAACAGTACCAGTACCAGCACGGTACCAGCACAGGACATGGGTTTTGCAAGCAAAACAACAAAGTTCGCGGAAAATTGAGGCGAAAACAGAGAAGTGGAGACGATAATCTTTGATTCGAGATCGGTCATGTTTAGAAAAGGTTGTCGCGCCGTTGCTCTCTTTCTATGTCGTTTAGACCGGTGCCATGAAAAGCAAGAAGATGTAGCATCGTGATTTCAATTAATACTAGCATATTAGGTAAGGATTTATATGGTTGTACAAGTTGTCTAGACTCTCGTGTCATTCGCGCCATGATAGTCGGTCGTCCCCTCATGGTTGTCTGGGACATCAACTGTCGGCACCGACTTGGCCGCGGCGCGTGCGCGGAGGCCCGCGTACGTGAATAGAATGAGCGCCACCCACACGCAGCCAAAGCCCGCGGCCTTGGTCACGGAGAAATCTTCATCATAAATGAGCGCGCCAACAATCGTCTGGATGGACGGGCCAATGAACTGGACGATGCCTAGAATCGTCAGCGGGATCGTCTGGAGTGCGGTTGTAAAGCAGAGCTGCGGCAAAATCGTCGCGAGGCCGCAGCCGACCATGAGCCAATTGAGCTTGGCGCCCGAGTGGCCAAATGCGCCGGACCCCTCTTCGTTGAGGACGATGAGGATGATGATGCACGGCACCGAGAGGAGCATGAGCTCGATCGAGACGCCTTGGAGGCCGTTGAGCGGCGCCTTCTTTTGCACGAGACCGTAGACGCCAAAGACGGCCGCAAGTGAAAATGAAATCCACGGGAATTTGCCATACCCAATCGTAACAATGAGGACGCCGACGGCAGCAATACCGACCGCGATCCACTGTAGCAATGGAAGCCGCTCCTTGAGGAAGATGACACCGAGCACGACGCTGAAGAGCGGGTTGATGAAATACCCGAGACTCATTTGGAGGATTTGGCCCGAGTTGACGGCGTAGAGCGAGAGGAAAAAGTTGGCACCGAGAAGAACCGCCGAGATCGAGTAGATTTTGTACGTCTTGAGCGTGCACGCGGCGGTGAGCCACGCGCGAAACTGCCCTGTGGCAACGAGGAAGAGCAGAAGCACGGGAAACGACCACACGACGCGGTGCAAGACAAGCTGGTACGAGTTGATCGCGAGGAGCTGCTTCCAGTAGATGGGCTGGAAGCCCCAGAGCAAATACGCTAAAACCGCAAAGCCGACGCCGGTCCGCACGTCACTCATCTTGCGCGAGTTGAATTGTGATGGAGCCGCGGTAGAAAGGCAGGCGCGACATGAACTCACCTAGCGTCCTGCGGATAATTTTGAAGCTGCAGCGGTTTTTCGATAAACGGGCTTGAGTCATGTGCGTTATATAGGTTAAAAGGCCATGAGTGGACTTTAACGCTACTAAATGTCTTTAACGTCGTACGACGTGGCAATCCGAGAGCGTTTCGACGCGTCAGATGGATGGTCACGTTGCGTGCGATTGCACTTTAGCTAGATGATGGAAATGCATATTTTGACATACTCAGTGCAATGTAATCATTTAAGGATGCTTTATTATTATTATTATTGTGAATGTTTAATCTGTTTTTTATCGCTAACATAGGTTGCTGAGACCCTGTTGTCCCACGGAGTGCCGTCCCTGCCACCTCGGAAATAGGCCACGTCATGGCCGTCGATTTCTGCTTGGAGTTCACCTGGCACCCAGCGACTCCCAGTGGCTTCGAAAAATCGGCAGTCGGAACCCCATTTCTTCTAGTTTTCCCCAGCAACCGTTGCTGTTGGAGGTTCACTGGTGGCCTTGGAGTTGTTGCTGACAATCGCCGTGCGGCTCGTCCCGACATCGCCTCGGAATGTGGCGGCGTTTGACGCAAGAGAACATCCCTCGATCGCTGGATATGCAGTCCTTTAAGTGGACGGCACCAAGTACTTATTGTGACGGCCCTCTCTGTATGTGCTAGGACGCAATAGCGCCCGTTCATATTGTTGTCTGTCGACTCGGTGTGCTAGAACCGAAGAACCGACCGATGGTGTCTTTTCGTTTATGTACCGGTCATTTGTGACTGCCGGTTCACCACAGTGCGTCGCGCCACCCGGATGGCACCACACCAGCATTGCACGCGCGATGATGACAGCGTCACCCTGTCCTTTCTCGATCGAGTCATCGCAGCGGTATGCGGCAATGGCTGCCACCACATACTCTTCACGTTATCCACAATGCGTGGACGAGGGAGTTCCAGGATGAACCCGTCGCACCCAGGATACATGGTGTACGTGCGCACCGGATTGCGACATGGTGCGCGATCTTAGTGTTGAAAGGAGGCGGTATCGTTCACCGCATCGTCCAAGTATTGCCGACATCGTATTTGCAGGATGAACGCAACTATCTTTCTATTGACTAGACATACTAATAAACTAACTCTTAACTAGACGTGGGCGTCAACGACACCGCGGTACTCGGCCTTGGAGTTGTTGTCGGAGCTCGTGCCGTCTTCGCTCTCGCTGACCTTGGCTTCGTCGAGAATTGGCTCGGGCGCCTTGGCACGGAGCCCGTCCACCGTGAAAATGACGAGCGAGATCCACACGCAAATGAAGCCCGCGAGCTTCATCGAGCCAAAGTCTTCGTCGTACATGAAGACACCGACAAGCGTCTGGATCGTAGGCCCGACAAACTGGACCACGCCGAGGAGCGAGAGCGTAATGTACTTGAGGCACGATACAAAGGCAATCTGGGGCAAAATCGTGGCCGCACCGCAGCCAACGATAAGCCAGTTGGTCGAGGCGTCCGAGTGGCCAAAGACACCGGTGCCGCGGAACTCGAGCACGAGAAGCCCGATCAAGCACGGGACAAAGAGCATGAGGAGCTCGACCGAGCACCCGACAAGACCAGAGAGCGGCGCCTTCTTCTGCACGAGGCCGTAAAAGCCAAAGACCGCCGCGATCGTGAGCGCAATCCACGGAAACTCGCCGTACCCGATCGTGACGATGACGACACCGATCGTCGCAATGCCAATCGCGACCCATTGGAGCATCGGGAGCCGTTCCTTGAGAAAGACAACGCCGAGGAGGACGCTAAAGAGCGGGTTGACAAAGTACCCAAGACTCATTTGCAAAATGTGCCCGGCGTTGACAGCCCAAAGCGAAAAGAAAAAGTTGACGCCGAGAAGAAGCGCCGAGATCGAGTAGACTTTGTAGGTGCTCCACGTCGTGATTGCGGTCCAGTACGTCTTGAGCTCGCCGTTGAGGCCGAGGAAGACGAGGAGAATCGGGTACGACCACACGACGCGGTGGAGAATGAGCTCATACGAGTTGACGTCGAGGAGCTGCTTCCAGTAGATGGGCTGGAACCCCCAGAGGAGGTACGCGATAAGGGCAAAGCCGACGCCGAGGTGCACGCCGTTCATGCTACTACTGCTGATACAAAGGCAAAAGGAAAAGTGAGGATGCCACCAAAAAACCAAACCGAAAACGCACAAATCATGTTTCACGTGGTTTGTTGCTGCTGCGACCAGCAGGCGTGGCACGCACCCAGCACCTTTCGTTTGGCAAAGAGATGCGGAGCGTGCCGTGACAGCGATAAGCGCGACATGTGGGTATCCACTTTCCCCCTTGAAGTCTCCCGCGGCCTTCCTTTGCACGCGTTAATTCCGCCACAACACGAGGTTAATTTGCTGTAGACGGCGTTGAACGCGTTTAACGCGCCCGGCGCACGGGAGAGGGCTCGGGGTCGATGGGCGCACCGTGGGATCTCCTCCATAAAAATGCATGATAAAGACTCGATGTTTGTATAGGCTACAAGTAGCGTCTACAAGCAAGTATCTTTGTAGGGACAATGCATGAAAAATGGAATAAGTGAGCGCTCAGACGTGTGGTGTCGCGGACAACTCCAGGCTTCCTTGCACCGCCCAGGGGAACTCCTGCGCCCCCATCGCTCCACCAATGACGGCGGACACGACTGCGATCGCGCCTTGGGACAGTGGGCGTAGAGCCGCGCATGCTCTGCTTCGTTCAAACCAGGCTGGGTACATCCACCCACCCGCCGCCTTCCAAATAAGGTAGTAATTCCACTGTGTCGCCTTCAAGGAGCAAACTGTCGAGCAATCTGCGTGGATTGCGATGTGTTTTGGTGACGCCGGCGCCATTTCTGTCGAGCAATCGCCAGCGACCCGATGTGCCGCCACCGTGTATAGCAATCGTCGATCGGCATCGCGATGTGCTCACGCGCTGCATGTACCCTACAACAGCGTGTCGACTTGGGTCACTACTATCTACCATAGCACTTCGTCTTCTGTCCGGCGCCTTGGAGCTGACGTCAAATGCTCGTGGCGCTGTCGTGGCCATCCACGTCGCAACAAAAAACCAGCACGCTCGGGTTCTACTCATGCATGCTGCAGTGCACACTATTGTCGAATGGAAGGTGGAGAAGGTAGTGAGTGACAAGTTGTTTCGGCTTTTGCATCGCAGGATAACGCAGGTCTGCGGTACGCTTCGGCCGCCATCGTCATGTAGGCGCGTTGTGTATGCGGCGACCACTTGCATCCAAACACCATCCAGCGCGTGGATACATGGTCGGGGCGCGCCATGGCGGCCTGGGCCTCGCCGATTGATGACTAGTTTGTAAAACATACTAGAATTACTACCCGCTGCCAACGCGTAGCTCTGTATACTGAGCAGTTTGGTATCGTATCCACGCGTGCACCATGTATCCTACGGGATCCGGCAAACCGATCTGCTCTCGTCGACAGTCAAATACCAGCTAGATGATTCTTGTCGCCTTTTATTAGAGCGTCGCGGAGCTACAGACTGCCGTTCGATCCCTGCGTGCCCTTTGCATGTTGCGTTCGTCCATGCGACCTTGAAGCTGCAAAGAGTGTGCCTGGGACAGTCGACGCATTTCCATTCACTGATCGTGGATAATGCTGAAGTGATTCGCTATCGCCAAACGACGACTAGTCTGAGATAAGCCGATTCTGTCCAGTACGTCGGCTGCGCCGTCCTTGGGACGACGCGACAAAACCACAACGAGCAACGAATGCTGCGCTTCTTCAACTTCAACCCTTCAAGTTGCGTTTGCAGAAACGTAACAGCGCGCCCTTTGGCGCTGGGACGACCCAAAATCATGGCCCGGCCCACCACTTGGTTTGTGGCACGCCTGTCGGGCGGCCCGACGGGGTTTTCAGGGGCCCAAAAACCCGGGCCCCCAAAAAGGCAAGATGAGCTGGCAAGGTGTCCTTCGACGCCGTGTCCTGGCCGTGTTGGAAGAAACGGTATGCAGCTGCCTTGGTCAACCAAGCTGCCGCCTGCTTTGGGCACCCTGATGGAGGACCAGGTACCACGCCCTCATTTCTTGGCGCCCAGCTACAGTCTTTGTCCGCTTCACAGTGGCGTGCGGACAGTGCATTCATCGAAGGAGAGGTGTGGATTCGCCGCTCGATGCATTAGCTTTCACCCTTGTGGTGCAGTTCACGAAAGAACGCTCCATCAAAGACGTCTTCGGACGTGGGACTCCATTGCTCGTCACGTCAAGCTCTGTGGTGCCTTTGTCGTGCAACAACGCAGTGAGGCTCAGAACGGAGGCGGTGCTAGCGGTCACCCCCAAAGCAGATCGAGCTGTATGGCCGAACATGCCGGAGGAGCCGTGCACAACCGTACAGGCATCTACGTCTTTTATGCGGACGGCGCCAGTCAAGGCGGACAAGATTACGGCTTCTGAACGTGATATGCACTCGCGTTCAACTACACCCTTCGATCACAATGAGTGAGTGAATACTATACCAAAGGCATGTGCGCGCACTTTGTTACCAGTAGCCGTCCGTGATGTCAACTCGGGCATTGGACAGTCGTTTCTGGGCAAGCGCGTCGTCTGACGGCAAGCTCAGGACCTCAATCTGGGTTGCCAAGAAGTGAAAGAGGTTTTCGGCGCAAGGCCGAGCGATCTGGAAGACCACGATCCACGGTATACAAGATCCAAGGTCCAGGAGCAGAGCAAGCGAG